AATGGAGTCTTACAGGGATGCTTACGTAGTCAAAATATTTCAAAAAATGAAATGGAAAAGCATTTCAAAAAATGAAAAACATTTCAAAAAATGAAAATTACCGAGTGCTTGCTGGGATGTGTGATTGGGTACTTCCATTTATTACAGAAAAGAATTTTTTCAGAAAGTTCTGGTTTAGCCAAGGGCTTTGCAGATGTTTTGCTTGGCAGACTGAGGAAACATGGGCAAATGGGTAGCTTTGGGAGGCTCTGGGTTCACACAGTCAGAAAATAAAATAGGAAAGCTAGTGAAGACCGCTGGGATATTTTTTTGTAAGAAGATATCAATTCATGGAAATAATGTGTTCCAGTGGAAACCTTCTTTGGCGTAGGTTCTGGTCAGGTTTATTTCAATATAACTTTTTTCAGGGCTCTTTAGGGGATCAATAAGGCTCCACCATTGCCAGCTGACTGTAACGTTGTACCCGGGTTAAGTTAACTGGACAGTCCCACCAGCCCATTGTGGAGAGTCAAGATTTATTTTCATCCTCTTTTTGTCTGTGACTTGAATAGCTCACTGAGGACAGCAGCTTATGCCCGGCATTGCTCTCCAACTCACTGGGAAGCATCACAAGACACCAAGGGTTCCCAAGTCATCTCACATCCAAGGATGGACTGCTTGGCTGGTAGAAGAAATAGACACCATGCTGCACCCTGTCCCACAGACTATTTCTGCCTCCCAGCAGCTGCATCAGCCTGTTTGGCAGCTGCAAGTACCATTGCCCACTTCAAGCTTTCAAGGCTTTTCTTAGCAAGAGTACAAGTAGTACAAGAGTACACTTAAATACCTGGAAACAGGCTCAGAAGGACAGCTGAAACATCTGTCTTCATACCTGTGACATCCTGCTGAAACCTTTCTATTTCCCAAAAGGGTCTCTCTGCACCATGCACAAGGAAATATTTTCTCTACTTCACAGATTTTTGAAATTTGACAGCTTAGAAATATCGGTCTTTGTACTAGAGATGGGAGTATAGACTGTCTCACATACCTGCTCACACACACACACACACACACACTTATATGGACACACAAATCCTCTAAGTCAGTAACATCTTGAATGACTGTAGGGCCATAGCTGTTATTTTCTGAGGATTAGTGAAAGGGAGTCAGAAAAAGATATTCCTTTCTGTGCTGTTCTGGTTTCAAATAAAATCTTGGATAAATTTAGTGTAAAGACCAGAGGAAAGGAAATGTTTAGCTTTCTGGGACTCTTAATGTCAACTTCCATCTCAGATCCCACAACTGAGATAGCTTTTATTGTAGCACATCATTTAAGCAAAATCCCAGTTCAGGATTTCCCAATTTTCACTTGTTGTCTCTTGCAGTTTGACTCCATTTCATGCTGTGCTCTATCCACATCCGTTCACCGTGTCTCTAATAATTTTTGCTACTTTCTAGAGATGCTGCTCCACCTGACTTCTGTCCTGAAGGTGAGGAATCCACTTCTCCCCCCACCTAACCTCCCTACAAACTGATCACCCCACAGCTACGGAGAGATGCACCCACAGTGGACATCCCTTTCTTGTCACTCATGACGCTTTCCACTGTGCCTAGCCCAGCAGTGCCCCCCTGCAGCTTGCAGTCTGGACCGTGCTTTCTGCGCAGCATCCCAAGGTGGGGACTCCAGCAGTTCCCCAGCAGCTCTGCCACCCCTTCCCTGTCCTCCCAGCCTCCACACCATAAACCCATCTATCACAATACACATCCTGTTGACACACCCTTGTTGAGTTTTATGACATCTGGACCATCTCCACATTTGAGAGGGTCTGAAAAAAAATAAATGTGAAAGGTCATTTGGTTCTTTTTACACTTGTAAAATTGTGTATGACGTCAAGTTTTGAAATTCAGAGCAGCTCCTGCATGGCATAATCAATTGCCTTGCCAATAAAAATAGTCCCTAATCCAGCTCCAGGTGAGCTGAGCATCAGTTTCCAAAGGTGTGTTTATCACATGTGCTCTGAAATGAAAATGTAGCTGTTTTTCTTGCTAGATATAAATGAGATTTTTAACATCACCATTAGGAGTCACTTGCTGGCCAAATATCCCCAAGGATTTTATTGGTGAGAAACTGGCAAAATTATTCATCTACATGGTGGTGTCCACAATTTTGGGTCACACTCTACAGTGGTGTAGGTAAAGAGACTCCCATTAACTTCAAAGTGGGAATGTAACTTAATGAACATACATGAAACAAAACCCTAAGAAATTGACCCTTTGGATATTATTTGTCTAATTATTTTCTAATTATCTAAAAGATCAGGGAGCCCCCGGT